TAGAGGTAGAATACTGCATTTTATAGACTATTTTCATAACACCAAGGAGAAAAATCTGAAGAATATATTTAGTAGAAGTTTTAAAAAGCTACCTTACTGTTGCTGGAAAAGAGGCAACACCAAGGCAACACAATTCTGGGATGCACAACTATGCAGGGTTTTTTTTTGGTAGTGGAACAAAGCTCTTTACTGCAAAGGTTCAAAATCCGGGACACTGTATAAATAGCAAGCTGAGTGCAATAGTTTTTGCTTTGGTTAATTTTTAAAGTTTAATTGTTCAATAGAATAGTAAGGGTTTGAAACAAGTAATACAAATTAGTTTGATACAACTGAACACTTAAGAGAGAAGAAACTGAAGCATGAAGTGGAGTTCAAATAAAAAAAGATGACCGTGGATCAGATAGCATCCTAGTTTCCTGTAATTCCTCATGTCCCAATTAATGTATGCAGTTTTCATTTGTGCCTGGTGTAGCTAATTAAATCTATGGAACACTTTAGGAAAGTTTAGTGTGTGTGTGTGTGTGTGTGTGTGTGTGTATGTATGTATATAAAATTAAGTTCTTAAAGCTGTCATCCTTTAACAGAAAGTTGTGAATTTATAGCTTCTATCCTTTTAATCACAATTCTTGATGTTAAACATTCTTGTTAATTCAACTTATGTCTTTTTGTAATTAGGATAGCTATTTTCTGTCCCTTTCTCCATTAACTTTTCTGCTTAACATCCAGGAATGTCAAAACTTAGACTAAGGTGGGTGAGGTAATATCTTTTATTGGATCAACTTCTGTTGGTGTCCGAGACAAGCTTTTGAGCCCAGACCTGAAGAAGAGCTCTGTGTAAGCTTGAAAGCTTGTCTTTCTCATCAACAGAAGTTGGTCCAATAAAAGGTATTACCTCACCCACCCTGTCTCTCTAATATCCAGAGACCACTATGGCTACAGCACTGTATAAAACTTAGATTGGTCTCTTATTCTCTGTGTACTAGATAGAAATATGTGCTTGTCTAAATTGTTGCTTTAGTTGAATGACTTAGAAAATTTATTTTGGTTGCCTTAAATTTTCAGGGAGCTGGGTTCCTTAAATTTTCAATTATGCGCCTTCACAGTCCATATCAAATATCTAATTTAATTTTTTTTTTGAAGGCCAGAAGGAACCGTTATCAGGAGTGGCAGAAGCTCCCTTAAAGTGTGTGGGGTGACTTGCGCCAGAACAGTGGCCCCCGCCCCTGTGCCACCTCTTCTTCCCCTCCCCCCCATTGTTTGCCCTTATGGCATAGCCCTCCCACTTTTAAAAGTGATGGGGCCATGGCCCCGCCCCCTCCCATTCTGGCGCCCCTGACGATTAGGATCTAGCCTGAGCTCCTGCACAATAGACTGTAGAATTTCACCTGGTCATTTCTGTATTGAACCTAATGACTTCTGGTTGGGCTAGAGCATATTTTCTCAGAATGACATCCAATTTTGATTTAAAGACTTACAGTATCTGAAAATCCACCGTGTTGATTGGTAGATTGTTCTAGTGATTAATCCCTCGCTGTTTAAAAATGTGCACCTTATTTCCAGTTTATTTGTTTAGCTTAAACTTCCAGTCATTCTATCTTGCTATGCCCTCATATTTTAGATTAAAGAGCCCTCTATTACAATTTTCTCCCAGTGTAGGGACTTACACACTGTGATCAACCTTCCATTTAACTATTGCTGTTACCTGGGCGCTGCACTCCTTGTTCTGCCGGGGAGAGACCCCACTCCTTCCGAGCCCCAGCTCAGGGGCTGCTGCGGTGGGGGAGAGGGAGAGACCTCCTCTCCTTCCCAGCCCCAGCTCGGACGACTTGTAAATGAAGGGTTTTAATAGCCTTCTATGAGCCACTCAACGGGAAGATCTACAAGGAATACAGTTGTCTGTGCACAAAGAGGATTTAGAATGTGATGTCCTTTTAAATTAGTACCCAAAAGGAATAAACATATTTTTAATGTACTGAAATGTGACGCCCTCAAAGTTAGTTTACAAAAATGTGAATTTGTTTTTGGCTACCAAACCAGAACAAAGAGAAATATAGCAGTTCTTGCATAACCTGGAAATTCCTTATATGAAATGATTTAGGGCAGTGGTGCTCAAACTTATTTTTTCGCTGGCCTCTTGAAAATTGCCGAGGGTCTCGGTGGACCACTTAATGTTCGTTCCAAATGCTGTTTGTATCATTAGCTTACAATTGTAAAGTGCTTTGGATAAATGCGCTATATAAAAAAAACCTTTATAATAATAATTGTTTTTCATTCTACAAATAAAAGCACACAACTCACATTTTAATATCAGTAGTTTTACCTTTCTAATGTGATGGATGTGCCCTCTCTCCCTCGCCACAGCAGCCCCTGAGCTGGGGCTGGGAAGGAGAGGAGGTCTCTCCCTCTCCCCCACCGCAGAAGCCCCTGATCTGGGGCTGGGAAGGAGTGGGGTCTCTCCCCGGCAGCCTCTGAGCTGGGGCAGGGAAAGTCGCCTCTTTCTCTGGCTGCTGCAGCCCTGCACGTCCCAAATTCCCTCCACCCCCTCTTCCCCCCCCCCCGCCCCCCCCCCCCCTTTCCCCCCCCCCCCAGGCCACCACCTCACCTTACATGTGCGTCTTCTCCAGGGTTCAGGCTCCTAATTAGTGGAGCCACGCCTTCACGGCTCCACTAATAAAGTGGGTGGCCTTTCATTCTGTTGTGTGCGGCCGCCGAGGCACACACCTTAGAGGGAACTATCCGTGGACCACCTGAATGGAGCTTGCGGACTACTAGTGGTACACGGACCACAGTTTGAGAACCACTGATTTAGGGTTTCTCGTCAAGTTAGTTCTCATTTGAAGTTACTTTTTGTCACATGACTCCAGCACCATGAGGAAATTTCTAGAAATGGATATTTGTGCTGGATCAGGTCATTAAATGGTATCTGATAGGCATCATAAGTCCTGGAAGGGTGCAGATGCTGGCCCAGAGATGGGCTCTGGAAAATACTGGTTTCTGTTCAAACCAAAAAGAAAAATTGTCCAACTTTACAGTGGTGAGGGGGGGAAATCTACTTTTAGGGTGTGTATTGGGGGAGGGGAGGAGGAATGAGCAACCCATCTTCTTGAGGGAGGCAATCTATTTTTTCCACAGGACCTCCCTACGTACCAGTGTCTACACAATTCCTAATTCTTAAGGCAGTCCTTCAACCTGCAGGAGAGGTGTATCCCATTGGAGTAATTACTACCCATGCAACATTTCTGTCTGGTGACCTAGCTTTCTTGTGGCCCAAGGCTTTATGGTATATTTGCAGTCAAAATGGTGCAAGGCCTTTCATCTGGCTGGGTCTATTCTGAGGTATGTTCTTCTTTCTGAGGTGACCTTTAAATTATCTGTGGTGTACCTAGATGGCATAGTAACAAGTATACTTTGATATACTGAAATATATGCATCAGGAATTTTTTATTCTTGCACTGGAAAAAACTATTCCAACAAAATGGAGCACTGATATCTGTTCCAGCATTTCATCACATGCATGGTATTGACTTCTTCCGCCACTTTATACTTAGAACATTTCATGCTGTAAAAGTGAAGTGTGCCATCAAGTTGTAGGATGACAGCTTTGACACTGATAAAAGCCCAGTGTTATTGCCTAACTTACACATATAAAATACTGTAGATACAAAGGAGTGTTAACTTTAAAACAATTGAAACAAAAGTTAATATTGTATATATCACACACACCATGTTGGACTCAAAATGTAAGCACATGTTAAGATGTGAAGCAATCTTTAATCTGGAGAAGAACTACAAAAGGGCAGTTCCATCTATGTTGTGTGTGCACTTTCACATATATTAAACATGTCAATTTACTGCTTATGTACAGTAGTTGGAAGTATTTTAATGACCATGGCAAGGGAATTTGTTGTTTTTTGTTTTCCTCCTTGAATTTATATCTGAGAGACCAAATAGCTAATAAGTTCCAACCAAAGTATGGGCGGTGACACTATCTCACTATTTGGAATCTTCATTAGCATAAATCCTGGAAGGGTGCAGGTGCTGGCCCAGAGATGGGCTTTGGAAAATACTGGTTTCTGTTCAAATGAAAAAGAAAAATTGTTCAACTTTGCAGTAGGAGGGAAGCTGCTTTTAAGGATTTGCATGTGTCCAACTGTTTGCTATAATCATTAGTACAGGTATATATGCATTACAGGTGTTCGTTTGGTAGTGAAAACTGTGACGTTGCATATCATTTTAATTGTAACCCTTTATTCTAAAAAATTTACCTTTTTCAATGAAGCTTTCCATGCTTGCATCTGCCTAAAAGTTAATTTAAAAAAAAAAATAGAGCAAAATCTCTTTGGCCAGCTTTGAGTCAAGTTTTTTTGTTTGTTTGTTTGTTTCTATTTAAAACAAAACAAAACACATTTTTTCCAGTGCCAGGAAGTATCTGGAACTTGTAATTGCATGTTTTGTTTTTTAAAAAGCAACGAACAGTGAGGAGTGTCTATTTAATTTGAAAAAAGTTGGTTCTGATTTAATAAATTTGCCTGTTTAAAACATTGTGTACTCCATGTGCACAATATAAAACTCTGTGGCGTGTAGAGGTGCACATTTTGGGCAATATTTATGGTGTATGTGTGAGCAGCTCAGAATCTCAACACTTCTAAGTCTGAAATGGCAGTTGGGAAAATTGTATATAATGTGAAATTTAAAATATGAATAAATACATTATTCTGTGTATTTTCAGTGAGGAAACTAATTTTGTTAGAAACTCAGAAGTAGCTGTACAGCAAGTGATATGTTGAAACCTCAGATGTATTTTTACTAAACAATGTTATTTAATCACATTTTAAGGGGGCAGTGTTTTTATTTTTTTAATTTAATTGCATAGTTCTGGATGATGACCAGACGAGTGAAAATTGCTAATTTATGTTTTACTTTTCAAGAGCCAGATAACTCATTTGAATACACTACATTTTATTTTATCATATTGCAACAATGTCATCTTCTCTTTTAAGGTTTTGATAGAGGGAAAGATGATGTGTCACAAAGTAAAGAAGATTCAGCACATTCAATGTCAAAAAGCAAGGTAAGCACAGCCAGCTTTCCAAAAGCTGGTTTTAAAATATGCAATTACACAGTGGAGTTGTTCCATGCACTGGGTTTAAATGCAAGTGTATTTAGCCACAGTGAGTGTTAATCTGGTGGACTGCTGTGAAGACTTCTCAAGAGAGAAGGATTAAATATTATTAAAAGCATAGTGTCTACTTTATTAGGGTGACTTTAAACATAAACCTACAGTGCAAACTCAGGAAATTGAGTTATAGTTTCTCATGTCGTCTTGCTAAAAATCTCATTTAGAAGATGGCATCTCTTAACTTAAATCCGCTGTACTTTTGGGCAGCACTGGTCTTGATATAGAATGTGAACTTCCAGCCTTTTGTAGGTGAGAGTGCCGTTGATTGAGTCATAATATCTCCTTATGGGACGAGTTGAGGGTTGTGGGAAAAGGTGTGTTTTCCAACAATCATTCTATTTATATGTAGTTTGTGTTTTGAGATACGAAAGTATTCTTAATTTAATGTTGCTATTTAAGAGCATGAAGTAGTCATTCATGAGTTCAATATGAAGTCCCATTTCTGTTAAGCAATGAGGGCCTCCTAGGAGGTGCAAAGTGCCATCATCTCCCAAGGCAGTCAACAGTCTACTGATCTTTAGTATAAGAAACTATGGTCACTGCTTTCTTTACATTCATTTTAAAACTAGAGCTGGTCATTAATTTTTTGACTAAACATCTTTCATTAGAAAATGCCAATTTGTTGAAGTCGCATCTGTTCTCTGGAGAGATTCAGTTTTGATTAATTTTGCATTTCAAAAAAAGTATCGAAATGATCAAAACTTCTTGTTGTAACTGTCTGCGCAAAATAAAAAACAAAAACCAGAGCCCAAGCTCCAGCCTGAGTTTATAACATCAAAGCATCATTTACACAGCTACTTTTAGTGTGAAAACCCCACTTCCGTAAGTCTGTAGACCTGGTCTGGGAGACTCAAACCCCTTAGCTTAGATCCATTTGTACTTAGAGCCTGATGAGTTATTCATATAAAGGATTTCCGGAACTTGCCTCTATATTGTAAGATGTGGTATTTTTACATCAGACATTTTCTAAGAGTTTTAAGAAATTCCCAGATTCTGGCCTAGGACATCTTAAATGTGGAAGGTCAGTGTACTACTAGAGAGAACACACTATTGCCATATTCACTTTGTTTTTTTTGCTTCACAAGTTGTCAAGGCTAAATCACCACTCTGGCACTTTGAGTGCAGAAGGTAGGGCCTGCAAGGATTCTAAAAATTAATACTTGCCACTCCAGGCTTGTATTAAATTTCCAAGGTTACAGTTTTTTTCTGACCTTAGCTTGGTAAACACTGCCACCACCCAAATGCAAAAAAAAAAAAAAAAAACAACCTTGGACCCAGGAAGGAACACTTGGGAATTCCTCCCTGTGGGGTAACCTAAAGCCCTTTCACTCCTCCGGGGAAGAGCTGAGGAAAAAAAACCAAAGGAAATTAGCTGTAACCACCAGCTAATCAAACAGCATATGCACAAACCTCTTAGGACACCAAAAGTCCAATGCGGTCTTAAAAAGGTATATTTTATTAAAAACAGAAAGGAAGAAAATACATCTGGAACTTAGGCTTTTGCTAGATTTTAAAAGAGCAATTCCAAAAATTAAGCACCCAAACTAGCCTTCTTGAGGGTTCATCTTAATGGTTACAAGCAAACAAAAGCATCGGGTTAGCACAGAGGAGATCCACAAGCCAAAATAAGCAATAAACCCGATAGCGTCTAACTAAACATTCCCTATCCAAATTATTTTTTCTAGGTATGGAAGATACTTTTGCATACCTGGTTCAAACCTTACACAGCATTCCTGCTTATAGCATTACTGCTCCGTGTCGCTCCAGCCCAGCAAACAGACCAAGGGAAAGTTTCTTTCCCAATTTTAAAAAGTTCTAGCCTTCCCATTGGCTCTTTTGGTCAGGTGCCCACTTCTTCTTTTTTTTTTTTCTTTACCTGCGGGACTTTTTAACCCTTTACAGGTAAAGCAAGTAGAGAACAGCTACAAAGAGGGATTTTACAGCTAACTGGCTGGCTGGGTGTCCATCAAAGGGAAAAACCCGCCACCTCTCCCCCTTTCATTACCACACAGGTACTTTAAGTTTACAGTCTATGGCTGCAGAAATCTTACATTTGAAAAACCTGTACTTGTAGAGACTGGTGTAATATGAGGTAATTTTTATTTGTGATGCTTTGTGACCCCCTAATTTTGCTGTTCACATCCATGCTACAACTTCTTGGTCAGGGCCTAAGTGTCTAATATGTAGGTCTGCCTTTGGTGACTCTTGTGTATTTGGTGGCACATGAAGTTTTAATGTGGAATAATGGCCTTCAGTATCTTTCTAATCAACAGTCTGTAATGTATATCTTTCTGTGTGGTTATAAAAAAGGTCACATTTTGCACAACATCTGTATGAATAAGAGTAAACAACTACCGTTTGGTCACTGAATTGAAATTATTTGTTTTTATAGATGAGATTTTCTGACCGTTTTTTCTCAGGGCATTTCTACAAGGACAAAGTGAAAGCTGTTTAGGTACCTTAACTGAATGTTTCAATTCAATGGCAAAAAAAAACACCCTGTTAACACAGCGTTAAGGTTGCTTGGTAGTATGTCGACCCCTTGTAGAATGTTGAGTTGAGGGAAAACTCAAACTTCTAAAAACAAGGAAATTCATAGTTAAGATTGCCATGCAACTTTAATTCTGCCCTTTTTGGGTAATGCATGCTGCCAACCCCACAATTGCTGAAATGTAGAAGCTCTTCACCAACTTTTTTACTGTCCATTCACTCTCCCCCACTGGATTCCATCTAACATTATTAAAGGGAAAATAGGTTGCCCACATTACCTTCTGTCTCTTCCTCTGGACCTGGCAGTAACCAAGGGAATTATTAGGATACACTGTCGGTGCAGTTAGTGTGTTAACTGCATTTTCTGCTTTTCAAAAGTTTGAGTTGTCCTCAACATTCTGCAAGAGACAACATCCCACCAAGCAACCTTTTGACTGCAGCAGCAGTCAAAAAAGCTAACAGTGTTAGGAACCACTAGGAAAGAGAGAGATAATAAGACAGAAAATATCATAATGCTACTACATAGTATACCCACACCTTGAATACTGCATGCAGTTCTGCTCTCCCCATCTCAGAGATGCATTAGACCTGGAAAAGGACAACAAAAATTATTAGGGGTATGGAACAGCTTCCACATAAGGAAAGATTTAAAAGACTGGGACTGTTCAGTTTAGAAAAGAGATGACTAAGGGGGGGATATGATAGAGGTGTATAAAATAATGTGGAGAAAGTGAATAAGGAAATGTTATTTACCCCTTCACATAATATGAGAACCAGGGTTCACCCAATTCAATTAATAGGCAGCAGGTTTAAAAAATATACAGAGGTATTTCTTCACACAAAATACAGTCCACCTGTGGAACTCATTGCCAGGGGATGTTGTGAAGGCCAAAAGTATAACTGGGTTCAAAAAAGAATTGGATAAGTTCATGGAGGATAGGTCCAGCAATCGCTATTTTGCCAAGATAATTGTCCTGTTCTGTTCATTCCTTCTGAAGCATCTGGCACTGACCCCTGTCAGAAGATAGGATAGTGGGCTATATGGACAGTGGTCTGATGCAGTATCGCCGTTCTTGTGTTCTTACCTACATTAATACAGAGTTATCTGCCATTGAATAGAAACTCACAGTTCAGGCACCCAAACAGTGCCAAACTTCTATAATAACAGACAGTCCCTACCTCAACGAGCTCACAGTCTAAGGCCTGGTCTATACTCCACAGCTTACGTCAACCTAATTATGTCAGTGTACATACTACAGCCTTGTCCCGCCGATGTAAGTACCCAGCTACACCGACATAACTCCACCTCCAAGAGAGGGGTAGCACTTATGTCGTTGTTGTTCGAGCAATGCAGGGTTTGTGTAGACCAGGGGTCAGCAACCTTTCAGAAGTGGTGTGCCGAGTCTTCATTTATTCACTCTAATTTAAGGTTTCGCGTACCGGTAATACATTTTAAAGTTTTTAGAAGGTCTCTTTCTATAAGTCTATATTATATAACTAAACTATTGTATGTGAAGTAAACAAGGTTTTCAAAATGTTTAATAAGCATCATTTAAAATTAAATTAAAATGCTGATCTTATGCCACCAGCCTGCTCAGCCCACTGCCAGCCTGGGGTTCTGTTCACCTAGGCCAGCAGCGGGCTGATCAGGGCCTGCGGCCGGGACCCCAGACCTGGGGAGGGGTGGGGTGTTTCAGGAGTCAGGGCAGAGGGCTGGGGGAGGGGGGTCAGGGCAGAAGGCTGGTGTGTGTGTGTGGGGGGGGGGGG